CACCTTATATTATTTAAATAACAAAAACTCCATGTCTAAGCCACCCTTGCCCGTACCAACGTCATCGTTTCAAGTTTCCAATGGTGGTAACCAAAATGAAGAGAAGAAAGTTGATTACTTCTACTATGAACTAGAGCATGGCTTCATTGTTCGACTACGTCAAGATATTGACCCTGGCATGGATCCTAAGAAACTCAAACGGTTCGGTGTTACATGATATTTTATTTTTAATTATCTTGCGATATTCGATATAACTTTTATAACATTTCAAAACCATAAATTGCAATTATGTATGCAGCATAATTTCGAATCGTATTTCGGCTCAAAGGTCAAGGTGGAAGAAGCGTCAATATGTTGAACATCTAAAGAAGAAACTCAAGGACCTCGAAGTATATTTATAACACTTTTATTTCATACATGAACTATATAATTCAATTCATATTTTCTCTATATCAATATACATAATTTCATGATAAGTTATATATACAGATGGAGGTGAGTGTGAGGCGTGCCTTATTGGAAATGCAGAATGAAATGACTGAATGTCTTAACATTGAGTATAGGGAGCTTGAGGAGCGTGCATTTGCTACAAATCAACGTTTAATTTCCGCTCAAGGTACATATGTATAACAGTTAACTAATTAGATATATATATTTTTAGAGTTGATATACTGATTATAATTATAATGCATAATAGCTGAGAATGAAGCGCTTTTAGCAAAGCTACGGGAAGCTGGAGATGAAATTGGCTCATTCGATCTCGATACCCTCATGCACCTCCATCTCTAGATCCACCAAAATTTTATCTTTCGTGATCAGTTCTGAGTTTTTGTTTTTTTTTTTAATTTCAAATGTTTCGGTTTACATAATATTTGTGCTAAATTGAAATCAAATTATCATGCAACAGTTTTGCATGGTTTTTGTTTCAGTTTTAATTAATATATTATCATTGCGACTCTTAGTCTCGTTTGCCAGTCCAAACAATACAGTTGGTTTTTAAAAAAGGGAGTTATGAGGCTAAGTATATGGAAGAACTGGCATTGCCATTTATACTGATCGTGTAGTTGCTCAAAGAAAGATCCATTAGGAGCATACTCGAAAACCAGCATTCGGTTGAATTCAAAAAAATACCCCAAGTTCGATTAAATTTTGTTCAATTTTTCGTATTTTCAGATATTTCGGATAATACTAAAATTACACCTACCAAAAAAAAACAGAAGAAAAGAAACCCATTCAGATAATTTGGTCTTTTTAGATCCATTTAGACCAATTTGGTTCAGTTCTATTCGGTTCGTATATTTTGTCCAGGCCTGACAATCCGGTTCGAATTAAATCATTCAACAACATTAACATATTTGGTTATTGTAAGTTTGTAACCCATAGAAACGGTGTCGTATTGGCACAGATACGAGTTTTCCTAACTTCTTCCGTATCGTTGAAAAAGCTCCAAATTCTCTCATTTGCTTTCGCAAAACCCCCAAAAAATGGGTTCTATGTACAGAGCCTCTAAAACCCTAAAATCGTCAAGACAAGCATGCTCACTCTTGTTCAATTCACTCAAATCCAATCAACGAGATCCTCTATGTATCGGTTTATACCAAGCTTACGGTTTCAGCTCTGATTCTAGACAAAAACCCAGAGAAACCCTCATTGATTTGACTCAGTTTCCTTCCGAAAAGATCCGAAATTTCTCCATCATTGCTCATATTGATCATGGGAAATCTACTTTGGCCGATCGTCTCATGGAACTTACTGGTACCATCAAGAAAGGCCATGGTCAGCCTCAGTATCTCGACAAGTTACAGGTACTTTAAGATTCAAAGGAACAGTTTCATAAGTTTGAGTGTGGTAATGCAGAATTTAGTGATTACCTCAAGAAAGTTTCAATTTTTGAATCTGTTAATGTTTGTTTTGTGATGGGTATTTGAAGATTCAGAGGAAAAGTTTGAAAAAAACGATTTTAGTTAAGAGTTTGATTGAGGTAATGCAGTATTCAGTGATTACCTCAAGAAAGTTTTAATCTTTGATCTTGCATTGTGATGTTGTTTGCTTTAGGTAGAGAGGGAGAGAGGAATAACTGTAAAAGCTCAGACGGCGACAATGTTCTATGAAAACATTGTAAAGGATCAAGTACCGAGCGGTTTTCTTCTAAACCTAATTGATACACCAGGTCATGTTGATTTTAGCTATGAGGTCTCTAGATCTTTATCTGCTTGTCAAGGAGCTCTTTTGGTTGTTGATGCGGCTCAAGGTGTTCAAGCACAAACGGTGGCCAATTTTTACTTAGCATTCGAGTCTAACCTCACTATTGTACCTGTGATTAACAAGATTGATCAACCAACAGCTGATCCTGACCGTGTTAAAGCTCAATTAAAGTCGATGTTTGATCTTGACGCAGATGATGTCCTTCTAGTCTCTGCGAAAACCGGTTTGGGGCTTGAGCATGTCCTTCCTGCGGTTATAGAACGTATACCTCCTCCTCCTGGAATCAGTGACTCGCCTCTACGGATGCTTTTGTTTGATTCCTTTTTTAATGAGTACAAAGGTGTCATTTGCTATGTTTCTGTTGTTGATGGAATGCTGAGTAAAGGGGATAAGGTCTCCTTCGCTGCGTCGGGTCAATCTTATGAAGTGTTGGATGTCGGGATTATGCATCCTGAACTTACTTCTACAGGAATGCTTCTTACAGGACAAGTTGGTTATATAGTAACCGGCATGCGAACCACGAAAGAGGCACGTATTGGAGACACAATTTATAGAACAAAAACTACTGTGGCGCCTCTTCCAGGTACTCCTATCGATTCCTTTGTAATTTCTTCTTTCTAGCACTCTCTTGAAAGAGAAGCAATGGCTGAGAATCTTGATGAGCTTAAATTTGTATTTCTCTCGTTTTGAGTTCTCCTCTGTAGTAATGTGTAATTCTAATGAGCTTTCTTAAAATGTTGTTTCAAGCTCGCTGAGTTGGGTTTAAATGTAGGTTTCAAGCCAGTGAGGCATATGGTGTTCTCGGGCGTGTATCCTGCTGATGGATCTGATTTTGAAGCACTTAGTCATGCCATGGAGAAATTGACATGCAACGATTCAAGTGTCTCAGTGGCTAAGGAAACAAGCACAGCTCTTGGAATTGGATTTAGATGTGGTTTCCTCGGTCTGCTTCACATGGATGTATTTCATCAGCGGCTTGAACAAGAATACGGTACACAAGTGATCTCCACAATCCCTACTGTTCCTTACACGTTCGAATATTCAGACGGAAGCAAGTTACAAGTGCAGAATCCAGCTGCCTTACCTTCAAACCCCAAATACCGAGTCACATCTTCTTGGGAGCCAACGGTAATCGCTACAATTATCCTTCCGAGTGAGTACGTAGGAGCTGTTATCAACCTCTGCTCTGATCGAAGAGGTCAGCAACTAGAATACACATTTATAGACGAACAACGGGTTCTCTTGAAATATCAGTTACCGTTGAGGGAGATAGTCGTGGATTTCTATGATGAATTGAAAAGCATGACATCGGGTTATGCTTCTTTTGACTACGAGGATGCAGAGTACCAGAAATCTGATCTGGTGAAACTCGATATCCTCTTGAACGGACAAGCAGTTGATGCATTAGCCACGATTGTTCACAGCCAGAAAGCATATCGTGTTGGTAAAGAACTAGTTGAGAAACTTAAGAACTACATAGAGAGACAAATGTTTGAAGTGATGATACAAGCTGCTATTGGTTCAAAGATCATTGCAAGAGACACAATCTCGGCTATGAGAAAGAATGTTCTTGCGAAATGCTACGGAGGAGACATAACTCGGAAGAAGAAGCTTCTTGAGAAACAGAAAGAAGGGAAGAAACGAATGAAGCGAGTCGGTTCTGTTGATATACCACATGAGGCTTTTCAACAAATACTCAAAGTCTCTTAGGAGAACAAGACTTGAAGAAGATGGTAGTAGTAATTGTCTTATGCAATTGGATATTATTTTTTTTGGAAAATTATAAATTATATATCTTTTTCGTTTTCTTCGACTGTTTGTAAAATGCTCGAGCCGTTGAGTTTTGAGGTTCTCACAATTGAAAACGTTGAGAATTCTTTTTCAGTTTCTCATTATCC